CCGGCCCCGGCCCCGGCCCCGGGGATGCCGCGGGGGCGGCGCGGCTGAGCCCCCCAGCCCCGCTGCGCCGCCGGCCCCGCCCGCCGCCGCCATGGCCGGTAAGCCCCGCAGCGGCTGCGAGGCGCTCCGGGTGGTGGCCCGGTGCCGGCCCATGAGCCGGCGGGAGGAGGCGGCGGGATACGAGCGCGTCCTGGAGCTGGACGTGAAGCTGGGCCAGGTGAGCATCCGCAACCCCCGCGCCGCCCCCGGGGAGCTGCCCAAGACCTTCACCTTCGACGCCGTGTACGACGCCAGCTCCAAGCAGGCCGATCTGTACGACGAGACGGTGCGGCCGCTCATCGACTCGGTGCTGCAGGGCTTCAACGGCACCGTCTTCGCCTACGGCCAGACCGGCACCGGCAAGACCTACACCATGCAGGGCGCCTGGGCCGAGCCCGAGAAGCGCGGCATCATCCCCAGCGCCTTCGAGCACATCTTCACGCACATCTCCCGCTCCCAGAACCAGCAGTACCTGGTGAGGGCCTCGTACCTGGAGATCTACCAGGAGGAGATCAGGGACCTCCTCGCCAAGGACCAGAGCAAGAAGCTGGAGCTGAAGGAGAACCCCGAGACGGGGGTGTACATCAAGGACCTCTCCTCCTTCGTGACCAAGAACGTCAAGGAGATCGAGCACGTGATGAACCTGGGCAGCCAGACGCGCTCCGTGGGCAGCACCAACATGAACGAGCACAGCTCCCGCTCCCACGCCATCTTCCTCATCACCATCGAGTGCAGCGAGACGGGGCCGGACGGCGAGGAGCACATCCGCGTGGGCAAGCTCAACCTGGTGGACCTGGCCGGCAGCGAGCGCCAGAGCAAAATGGGGGCCCACGGGGAGCGCCCCAAGGAAGCCTCCAAGATCAACCTCTCCCTCTCCGCCCTGGGCAACGTCATCTCCGCACTCGTGGACGGCAGGAGCACGCACATCCCCTACCGGGACTCCAAGCTGACCCGCCTGCTGCAGGACTCCCTCGGGGGCAACGCCAAGACAATCATGGTGGCCACCTTGGGCCCGGCCTCCCACAGCTACGACGAGAGCCTCTCCACCCTCAGGTTCGCCAACAGGGCCAAGAACATCAAGAACAAGCCCCGGGTGAACGAGGACCCCAAGGACACCCTGCTGCGGGAGTTCCAGGAGGAGATCGTGCGGCTGAAAGCCCAGCTGGAGAAACGCGGGATGCTGGGGAAGAAGAGGAGAAGGAGCAGCCGGAGGAAGAAAGCGATGGACGGAGAAGGCACCGTGGAGAACGAAGGGGAGGACGACAACGAGGAGGGCCTGGAGAAGAACATGGAGAACTACTTGAAGGAGCAGAAGGAGAGGCTGGAAGAGGAGAAAGCTGCTATCCAGGATGACCACAGCCTGGTGAGCGAGGAGAAGCAGAAGCTGCTCCAGGAGAAGGAGAAGATGATCGAGGACCTGCGGAAGGAGCAGGAGGCCACGGAGCTGCTGGCCATCAAGTACAAGGTACGTGTCACCACCCGCCATCACCAGCGAGGCCGGGGGAAAGACCTGCTGTGCCCCCAACCCCTCCCAGGGTGTGGGAATGGGCCCCGAGCAGGGAGCCTGTGCCAGGAGCCCACCGGGGTGCCCAGGCAAGGGGGGCTCCCAGCAAGGTGCCCCCAAGAGCCCCTGACCCAGGCTGATGTGTGGGGCTGGGCTGGGGTTGCCCTCGGACACGGACGTGCGTGGGAACCCTGTGTGGAGCTGCAGGGAGGCGGCTGGGAAGGGCTCTGGGGGAGTGGGTCACTGGTGGCACGAGTTTGCTGTGCTCAGCTCCGGTCCCCCTCGGCACAACAAAGCAGCTCTTGGCAGGGAGGGGGAGTGACGGGAGTGATGCTGCAGATTCGTCCCCGTGGCACCGGGAGCGTGCCCAGGGCTGGGGCTGGGGACACTGTGCACCTGCCCCCCGCCAGTCCCCGGTTCTGCTGGGCTGGGCAGGGCTGGGAGCCCCTGGCACGGCCTGGCAGCTCAGCAGGGACCCCCACCCCCCTCCCAGCCCCAAATCCTTCCTGGCACCCCAAGCCGGAGCGGGGTGGGTGGGGGCACATAACAGGCATGGCCACCGGCTCAGGGATGCTCAGGGATGTGGGGCTGAGGGTGAGAGGGGCCATGGCATTCCCAGCCGTGCCAGGGGTCTGGGGCTGCACCTCTGCCCCCACCCCAGCCCTGCTCCTGTCCCCAGTGAGGCTGGGGGGTCCTGACCCACCCCACATGCCCTTGGCAGCCGTGGGGCGGGGACCACAGTGAGGGCAGTGGGGAGGGAGCCCACCCCCCTGAGCCGGGGGGGGACAGAGCCCCAGCCCCCTGATCCAGGGGGGACACAGAGCCCCAGCCCCCTGACCCACCACATCATGCTCCAACACAGCCCCTGTGTCCCCTCGGTGGCCCAGCTGCAGTGACAGGGCTGGAGCACAAGCAGGGACCCCTCCGGGGGGGACGCGCTCAGGGTGTCAGGGCTGAGCAGGGGGGGTCCAGACCCTCCTCCACGGGCAGGGGTGTGTTTGTTGCAGCCCCAGGGACACATGGCCGTGCCCAGGGATGCGTGATCATGCCCAGGGATGCGTGGCCGTGCCCGGATGCCTGCACAGAGACCCGTGGGAACCCGCTGGGACGTGCCACTGGGGCAGAGCCGTGGGGGGGACACTGGTCCCTGGCTGGCACGGCGGGTGTCCCGTGGCAGTTGTCCTGGCACAGCAGGATGCCCAGCCCAGTCCCCACAGCCACAGTGGGGTGCAGGCTGTGGGGTGCAGGCTGTGGGGTGCAGGCTGTGGCTGGCAGCCGTCCAGCATGGTCTCCTCATCAGGCACAGCACAGCAGGGCTGGCCCGGGGCCACCCCGTGTCCTGGAACTGCTGAGTAACAAGGCAGGGCCCGAGGTGAGGTGACACCACGTCCCCTTCGGGGGCCTTCGGAGCCACTCTGTACATGGGGACCCTCTGGCCGTGGGGGTACAGCACAGACACAGTCAGACACAGTCACACCAGAGAGCAGAAATCCCCTGTGTCAGCCCAGTCTGGGGGGCACTGCGGGGGACACTGGGTGGCCTCCCGGTGCCCACGGGCAGCTCTGGCACACAGCAGGGCCAGGCAAGGAGCCACTGGCTCTGCAGTGGCCGTGGCAAAGGCAGCCAAGGTGACCGGGGGGACACGGGGTGGCCCCCACACCCAGGGGGGACACACTCTGCACCCCGTGTGTCATCACACTGCTGGACGTGGGCTCTGCCTCTGCCACCCAGCTGGGTTAGTGGGCACCAGGGAGCTCGAAGAGGTGGGGGCCAGCCTGCCCAGATGTTCTCCTGGGCTCCCAGATGTTCTCCTGGGCTCCCAGATGTGCCCAGGGGGAGGGGCAGTGCCGTGGACAAGCCGGGTGCTGTGGGCCCTGACAGCTCTGCTGAGGCCGAGGTCAGCGGGAGGGAAAGTGCTGGGAAGTTATTTGGGTGCCGGAAATAAGTTCCCGGGAGAGGCTTAGTGCTAAAGGAGATTGGGAGCCTCCTGGTTAGAGGGAATAAGGGCTCTGGCAGGGAGGAAACAGCGGCACCGAGAAACCCTTTAATCCGGCGGGGAGGGCAGGCAGCAGGAACATCATCGCTGCACCCACCCGGCCCCCTCCCTGCACCCCAACCGGGGGTGGGGGACACTCAGCGTCCCAGGGAGCAATTAGGGCCGAGAACTGGGTTTGGAGGAGAAGGGTGAGGGGCCTGGAGCACCCCAGTGATCCCAGCCCGGCCGCTCCGGGAGCCCTGGCAGGGGATGGCACGGGATCGAGTCGGGGGGCTGCCCTTGGGGGTCTCACCCCGAGCAGAACACCCGGCCAGGAACCCCCATCCGAAGGTGTTGGGGACAGGAGGAGGAGGGATCCCGGGGGTCGGGGTCAGGGGGTGGATGGGGCACCCCCGGGGGGCTGTGCCCCCACAGTGCTGAGCAGCTGCAGGGCTCTCATGGGGTGGGGGAAGGTGGGAGCTGGTGCTACAGTTGTGGGGTGTCCCGTGGGTGTTGAGGGCCTGCCTGCAACACCTCAGAACCCCACAATGTGCCCCCCTGCAGCCAGGAAGGGGAAAAATGGGGGGGGGAAACAGGGGAAATAGAGTCTGGGCCCACGTGGCTGCTGGTGGGAATGGGGGTCACTGGTTTGCTGGTACTGGGGTCCAGCCAGGGGACATGGCATGGGACCCCCGTGGAGACCCCTGTGTGGGGACATGTGACAGCAGCATGAATGCCTTCTGTGTCCCCCGAGTCCTGGCACCCCTTGGGCTGGGGTGGTGGCCCTGCTGCCCCTCAGGGCCGTGGCTGTGGCAGTGAGGGGGGTCCTGGGAGTCCAGGCACCGTGAGGAGCAGGGACCCTTGATCTGGGGGGTCCAGAAGGACCCTGTGGGCAGACACCAGTGGGTGAGAGAGGCCACGTGCTGGTGACAGGAACACCCCAGGGATGGTGGCAGAGGGCACACCCTGGGGATGGTGGCAGAGGGCACACCCTGGGGATGGTGGCCGTGCTGGCTCTGTGTCTGGCAGGTTGATTTTAAAGCTGTGTGTGGTGTCATGGGGACATCGGGGTCCGTCCCTGCTGACACCCCGGAGCGCAGCCGTGGGGACCACGGACACCCTGGCAGGGGAGCGGGGCTGGCACACGGCTGCACACCCGGCTGGCACGAGCACTGACACACGGGCACACACGGGGTGCTCCCCTCCTGCACGGCTCTGCCACACCCGGGGCTCCCACACGCACTGACACGCGTGTGTGAGCATGTGCACAGGCTGTGTGTGTCTGTGTGTGTGTGTGTGTGTGTGTGTGTGTCTGTGTTTGTGTGCACAGGCTG